CTTATAAGAAAAGACTGTACTGTTAACATTTTGACTCAACAGCTTTTTTTTTTCATAAATAAAAGAGGAATTGCAGGCAACAAACACAGTCTACCATTTGGATGAGTTTTGCTATAAATGAAAGGAGACATTTGTTGTTTTAACTGAAGGTAGGATAAAGGGAGACTTTTTTTTCCCTTTTGGAGATGGGAGATGTCAATGCATGTTTATGCTGATGAAAATAATCAATCAGAAGGAAAACATAGATGAGGCAAGGATAACGGGAATAATGTCTATAACAATGTCATTGGGAAGTGGAACTTACTGGATTAAGTGCATAACTCTGGGGGCTGAACCTGAAAAGGACTCAAACAGTGTTTCCATAGTAGCAGAGGGAAAGGGAGAGCAAGGAATGGACGGACGTGATGGCCTGAACGTGCAGAGAAGTTCTCTTTTGATTGCTTCTATTTTTAGTTGAATACAAAATAAGGTCATGGAGTGAGATTGAAGATCATGCAGGCATTATTGAAGGCTTGAAGAAAAAAGGGCAGGTATGAACTACAGGCAGCACTGAAGGTTCGGGTGAGGATGGAGATCATGAATTTCAAGTAAGACCAGGCAGCATGAGGCAGTGAGTAGCAATGAGGAGAGTGAATACCTTTCCTATAGAGCTCTGTGTGATGAACTAAAATGAGAGCAGAAGGTGCAGTGATTTAGGCAGGCCTCTGAGGAAGATGTACACTAATGGAAGAATTGAAGATCTTTCAAAATATAGAGGTAAAGTGAATAGTTAGGAAAGGGAGTAGGATATAAATGTGTTCATTAACAGATTAGTGGCAGAGAAACAAAAATTCATACATCTGTCCTATGTTTGTGCACATGTGTGTGTTTATGATAATGACAGAATTTCACATTAATGAAGGAAAAAAATGGATTGTAAGCGCATTGTGATAATTGGGGGATACTAAAACTCTATTTTACATTTTACACCAAGAAAAATTCAGACCAGTCAAATATTTAAATATGAAAAAGTAAATTAGAAATTTTTTAGAATAAAACATAAATTTTTAAAAAGCTTTTACATGGAATTTCCAAATGATACAAAATTCAGAAATTAGATCTAAGTTGTACTGATCAAGACAAAGCACCAAAAACATTAATTGGAGAAAAGATAGCCTATTTAACAAATGGTGCTAGAAAAACTGGAAATCCATATGTAATAAAATGAAATTAAACCCCTATCCCTCACCCTGCATGACACTCAAGTGAAAGTGGATCAAAGACTTAGGAAGTAGAAGAGAGACCCTGTGCTTAATAGAAGAAAAAGTAGGCCCAAATCTTCACCATGTTGGCTTAGGATCTGACTTCCTTAACAAGACTCCTAAAGCACAAGAAGTAAATCAAGAATCAATAAATGGGATGGATTCAAACTAAAAAGCTTTTTCTCAGCAAAAGAAACAATGACACCAAAATAACAAATAACCCACTCAATAAGTCGGCAAAGGAAATGAACAGACACTTCACAGAAGAAATACAATCAATCAACAAATATATAAGAAAGTACAACATCTCTAGCAATTAAAGAAATGAAATAAAAAATGCTGAGATTTCATTGTATACCAGTCAGAATGGTAGTTATCAAGAATACAAGCAACAATAAGTGTTGGTGAGGATGTGGGGAAAAAGTTAGCCATCACATTGCTAGGTTTATATCCAAAGGACTTAACATCAGCCTGAAAACAATGACACAGCCACATCAATGTTACAGCAGCTCAACTCACAATAGCTAAACTATGGAACCAACCTAGGTTTCCTTGAACAGATAAATGGATAAAGAAAATGTGGTGTCTGTACACAAAGAAGTTTTAATCAGCCTGAAAGAAGAATGAAATTATGGCATTTGTAGGTAGATGGATGGAGCTGGAGACTATCATGTGAAATAAGCCAATCCCAAAAAACCAATGGCCAAATATTTTCTCTGATTTGCAGATGCTAATTCACAATTAAGGTGTGGAACTAGGGAAGAATAGAGGTGCTTTGGGTTAGACAAAGGAGAGTGAATGGAAGGGAGGGGATACAGGGGTAGGAAGGAGAGTAGAATGAATTGGACATTATCATGCTATTGAATATATGACTACATGACTGGTGTGATTCTACATCATGAACAATCAGAAGAATGAGAAGTTATACTCCATTTATATATAATGTGTCAAAGTGCATTCTACTGTCATGTATAACGAATTAGAACAAAGACAAGTAAAAAATTGAACTCATAAAATAAATAAATAAAATTTAAAATATCTTCATTAAAAATCATGTATAAACACATGCCAAAACAAAGGTTAAAATAAAAAATATTATATATGTTATAGAAAATGGCTAACTTATTTTATTAGTCAATATTTATCATTCATAGTCAATAAGATGAATAGCTATATAAAGGGAAAAAATATTATCAATAAACAATTTGGCTCCTTTTAAATTATATAGCTATTATGATTTGGATGTGAGGTATCCCCCAAAAGCTCATTTGTGAGAAAATAGAAGAAAGTTCAGAGGAGAAATGATTGGGTTATGAGAGCCTTAACCCAATAAGTGAATTAATCCTCAGACTGGATTAATTCAGTGGTAACTGAAAGTGGCTGGGGTGTGGCTGGAGGAGGTGGGACCCTGGGGGCATGACATTGGGGTATATATTTTGTATCTGGAGAGAGGAATCTCTCTTTCTGCTTTCTAATCACCATATGAGCTGCTTCCCTCTGCCACACTCTTCTGCCATTATGGTAAGCCTCACCTTGAGTAATGGAGCCTGCTCTATAAGGATTAAGACCTCTAAAACCATGAGCCATCAAACTTTTCCTCTTCTACAGTTGTTCTGATCTGGTATTTTAGTAGTAGCAGCAAAAAAATCTGACTAAACCAATAGCATTGTCAGGAAGCAGACATTATATGTTGAAGTATGTGAAAGTAATATGGGAAACAGATTGGATAGTCATTAATAAGGGTGCATTGTTAAATAAAATACAACGAAACAATATGATGGAACACTAAATAGTCAGTCAAAAGAATGAGCTAATTGTATATGCTGCTTCAAAATATGCAAAATAAAAAATATTGTAATGATACTTTAAATAGGAAGCAATCTTGCAAAGAGAAATATTGTGAAAAGAGAGACTTTAGAATCAGAACATTTAATAGTCTCTTTGTTAATGAATCAAATGAAAAATAAATATACATGCACAAATACATAAATGCCTATGTATTCATGTATTTGCATGAAATATGCCAGGATATAGGTTGAGCATCCCTAATCTGAAAATCCCAAATCTCAAATGATCCAAAACCCAATATTTTTTGTAGTATAAACATGACACTATAAGTGTAAAATTCCAGACCTGTCATAATCATCATGAAGGTTCAATAAAAATATAGCATAAAATTACATTTGGCTGTCTATATGCAGAATATATGAAACACAAACGAATGTTGTGTTCAAGCTTGGGTCTCATCCCCAAAGTATCTCATTATGCATTTACAAATATTCCAAAATTGAAAAATATCCAAAATCTAGAACACTTCTCTCCCAAGTGCTCCAAATAACGATATTCAAACTTTATGTAAAAATGCTAATGTATTTGCTTCTGAAACAGAGCTTGGGTTCTATGACAGAATGGGAGGAGGGCAATCTTTTCACTGCATGCTTTTTGGAATCTTTTGAATATGATAACATATTCATGTGTCTTTTATACCATATTCATATATTCCTGTTTAAACAATTTAAAGAAATATTTGAACTTATTAATACAATTGGAATAATGAAACACTTTAAACTGAAGAGTTTCAGAATTATTAGTAATTTACTATGGACTGGAAAACTTTAGAGATATTTAAAAGCATAATGAAACTAAATTTTAGAAATTAAAAAATAATAAGATGGTAAGGGAGAATTCATTAGAAGGCCAGAGAATACTAAAGTGTCTTTATGAAGGAGGATGTGTTTTGCTTAATTCTCTCTTGGTTGAAATATTGAGTTAAACATGTTTGTTATAAAATTTTAGGCAGTATAATAAAGAAAGTAAATAGAATCTATCCATTCTAGGTCTGAGAAAAAATAGGAATCATTTAAAAAGTTGATCATGAAATAGGAAATCAACAATAACAATAAATAAAAGTCAGAACATATGACAATTGGAAAATATCCTAATATGTACTCAATGTAAGTACATGTCTGAGGTTAAAAGACAAGCACAGCAGTCATTGCAAACAAGGTCATCATCATCGTAGATCAGCCAAATGCCAGCTGATTCCCTATAGAATGTGAACAATTCCCAGGAAGTGAGCAAAATAATCCAAGGAACTCTCAGATTTGTGACTAAACAAGTGCTTTTTGTGTTAAATTACTGATTTCTGAGATGATTTTTTTTTGTAGCATTGTGGTACAGAAGGTTCCTAATGCAGATAAAACTGTCTGGATTGACTTTCACAGTTGGTATAGAATAAATGCAGTGGTGAAATGTCACGTGGTCATATGTCAAGTGTTCTCTTAATCAATGCAAACCAGTCCTTTCAGGTGCATGAGACATAATTTACTCACAAAGTCATTAATGGGCTATTTCATAATTCTCTCCACTAATGAGTCACAATACAATTGACTTTATAAAACTATCAAAATTCTAATAACCCCTGCTTTTCCATACTTCTTATTAACATCAATTTATGTTTCTTCAGCTCTTTCTGTTCAAGTGCTGTGTAATTATTCTCATTTGCCAGTCTGATCCTGCTTCTGACAGTTGCCTTCCCTTTTCTGGCTCTCTTGCCTCTGTTTAACCTGCCACAGCCTTTTGTTTTCCCTCCTGTGCTTCAGGAAAAGGAAGATAACTTGGCATACCTGCCAAAGACTTGTGACAGTCATATAAGAGCAGTGTGCTTCACTGATGTCTTAGAATAAAACAGTACCCTCAAGAAGACAAACCCTCTGTCATTTGGTTTCCAGGGATACAAACATATCTAAAAATGCAGAGCTAAATGCATTTTAAAGTAAGATTTAAAAAAAATGGAAGTGAAGAGAATGATATAAAGGAAGAACATGGGTTGTGGAGTCAGACACTGCTGGACTGAATTCTGACAACCATTTACTTCAGACAGGTAACTTAACTGCTTGAGCATCCTTTTATCTTCTGCAAGATGTGAGAATTATATGAGATAGAATAGCTAAACTCCTAGCACAGCCAGCCTGCTTCTTTTCCCCACTCTCTGTGGTCTCATGAACAATGAAGGCTTCTTTTGCCTCCCTCCTAAAAAAAATCCCCCAAATCCTCCTGCAATTCTACCCTGTCCCAGCTCTCCAAACTGGTATGCCTAAAGAGCCAGCACCCTTTCTGAGCAGAAGCCCGGAGGTTGCTAGGACTCAACTGCCTAATACAAAAAGGAAGGAGAAAACATTAAATATCATTTTAAAAGCTTTATTTGGATGCATTTTCAAATTAGAATCTTTTATCATGCTTACAGAAATAAAAATGATGCTTATATTCTTCATCAGCAAAACAATGTCTTAAATTCCACAGAACTTACAGGATACATCTGAAAGGTAGCATAGAAAAGACTCCTAGACAGGATTATACACCACAATAAATAGACTGTAACTAATTGGTTTGATTTGTGGACCTGTGGAAGGGTGGCCACGCTCCTGGCTTGAAAGAATACCTCAAACAATAAGCATCAATAAAGTAAAAATTCATACCTTGGTTGTCTGAAAATAGTTTCTTTTCCTGTTTATTTAGCTGAATTATTACTTATTTAAGTATCTTTTCTATTTAAGTCCACCCCCAATTGGGACACATCCACCTTTACTAACACTGAATTATAGATGTTAGAGTTTACAATTGTTCCTTTTATCAACAAGTAACTTTATCTTTCTTACACTATTCTCCAACAGGATCATTAAAAAAAGCAACAAAATCCTAACAAATGAGGCACAGAGAACAAAATGCCTTGGGTGCAAGATAAAAATAGTAGCTTCTTTAGGTACCTCACCTTATTTAATTTTAATGAAAACCCTTCACCATAAATATTGCTAGCCCTGTCTTATATGATACCAATGCTTTAAGAATTAATAGATTTCTGAAGTTGAAAATAAAATGAATGTTTTTGCACATATTTAGCTGTAAGAGTATTAAACCAACAACAAAATAACTAGAATAACAATCACGTTTGCTGTATCCATCTGAAAACAATCTCCCACAAACTTCCCTGACCCTTCACAGAGTAGAATCATTTTGCCTCCTAGCCAAACCCAGGGGCTGCCAATTTCTCCCTGTATTTCTCCACTCAGGATCCGTGATTCACCTGCTTTATTTGTTGATTTGCTATCTGTGCTTTCTACGTAAACTGATTATGCGAGTCTTGAAGAGTTTTAGGGAAGCACATTCTCATCCAGTCTTATTCTTCAATAGTGAAGAGCAGAATCTTGAAAAGAAGGTAAGGAGAAATCCAAGGGGTGTGGGAGTTTTGTTTTAACTTGCAAAGGTATAAATCACATGTCAAGATACTTAAGAATCAAAATTTGAGATTTAGTCAATAAATTGGAGCTTGGATTTCCATCATGAAGCATGGGAAGTACAACATTAATCCCTCTTAGATGTTGTTTCCTTGGTCAAAAATAGGAAAGTTTCTTATAGTTCAATGTAACAAATCAAGGAATCACTTTTAAGTGTGTTTTTGTCACACTGATGCTATTAAAAAGCTAGGAATCATTTACTCCAGGCATTATTGTAGGCTATTTCAGTAAAGAAAACTATGGAAATTCAGACTAACTTTCTTTTATTTATTTATTTATTTATTTATTTATTTATTTATTTATTTATTTATTTAAATTAGTTATACATGACAGTAGAATGCACTTATATACATTGATATATCATGCATAGATGGGATATAATTTCTCATTTTTCTGAGTATATATATTGTAGAATCATATTGGTCATACAGTAACATATATACATAAAGTAATAATGTCGGTTTTGTTCTAGTATTTTCTTATCTCCACATCCCCAGCCTTCCCCTCCTTTCATTTCCCACTACCTAATCTAAGTTAATGTTATTCTTTTTTTGCCTTTATACATGTACTTTGTTGTTGTTGTTGTTGTTTGCATTACAATTCTTAATACACGTATATACCACAATTTTTGTATAGCTGTTTGTATATAAAGTATGTTGACACCCAATTCAAGTCTTCATACAGGTATTTTGTATAATGATGTCCAATACATTTCACCATCCTTTCTAATCCCCTGCCCTCTCCGTTTCCCTCCCATCCCTCTGCCCTATCTAGAATTCATCTATTCCTCCCATGCTCTCCCACCCTACCCCTCTATAAGTCAACCTCCTTATATCAGAGAAAATATTCTGCATTTTTTTTGAGATTGACTGGCTTCACTTAGTATTATCTTTTCCATCGTCATCCATTTACCTACAAATACCATTGTTTTGTTCTTTTTTAATGCTGAGTAATATTCCATTGTGTATATATGCCACATTTTTTTGTATCCATTCATCAATTGAAGGACATCTAGGTTAGCTTCACATTTCAGCTATTGTGAATTGTGCTGCTATAAACATTTATGTGGCTGTGTCCCTGTAGTATGCTGTTTTTAAGTCTTTTGGATATAATCTGAGGAGAGGAATAGCTGGATCAAATGGTGGTTCCATACCCAGTTTTCCCAGGAATCTCCATACTGCTTTCCAAAATGGCTACACCAATTTGCTGTCCCACCAGCAATGTATGAATGTACCTTTTCCCCACATTCTCACCAACACTTGTTGTTTTTCTTCACAATAGCTGCCATTCTGACTGGAATGAGATGATATCTTAGAGTAGCTTTGATTTGCATTTCTCTGATTGCTAGAGATGATGAGAATTTTTTCATATACAATTGACTGTATTTCCTCTTCTGAGAAGTGTCTGTTCAGGTCCTTGGCTCATTTGTTGACTGGGTTATTTGTTTTTCTGGTGTTTAGCTTTTTGAGTTTTTTACATACCCTAGAGTGCTCTATCTGATGTGTGAGGGGTAAAAATTCGCTCCCAGGATGTAGGCTCTCTGTTCACTTCACAGATTGTTTCTTTTCCTGAGAAAAAATCTTTTAGTTTGATTCCATCCCATTTATTGATTCTTGGTTTTAATTCTTACACTATAGGAGTCTTATTAAGGAAGTTGTGGCCTACTACCACATGATGAAGATTAGGGCCTACTTTTTCTTCTATTAGATGCAGTCTCTGGTTTAATTCCTATGGCCTTGATCCATTTTGAGTTAAGTTTTGTGCATGGTGAGAGATAGAGGTTTGATGTAGACTCTTTCGGTAAAGAAAGCTGTGGAAATTCAGACTAACTTTCTATGAAACTGATCTCAAATTCCTCAAAGTCTGAATTGCAGATTTTTATGTTTCTAGGAGCAAAGGAAGACTAGCATACAAATGCTCATTTCATCTGTTACACATTTATACTTATTTTTTCCTTGATGCTTTATTAAACTAAGCAGAGCACATTGACATCTCAGGAAATTCACACTGATGTTGACTTCTTGCTCTTAGCTAATGGTGATGATCCAAGTGGGAAGATACAATCAGAAATTGATCCCTTATAAGTGATGATCTACTAGGTAAGGTGAGGTAATATGATCTCTAGGTTTCCCCCAAGCTAAACTGTCAGGATCATCTCCCATAATAAATTGTTGGACACATCTATTCTGATAAAGAAACATACATTTTTTTTCTTCTATGTCTCTCTTCCTTTGGATCCCCTACAATTTTGTTCCCAAACATGGCCTGAATCTGAACTCTCTAGTCCTCTGCAGAATTGAACTAAGGTTCTATTTCCCAACGCTTTGCTTCATAGCACACTCTTTGCTTGGTTTCTTTCCTTTGATCATCCCATTTTCATAGGTCCCCACACGTTATTTTAGGCAGCACTTTCTAGAAAGTCACTTTCACATGAATCCTTTCAGGTCTGCCTCTGGGAATCCCAAACTGAGATAAATATAAAATAAAAATGTGAAACTTCTAATCATGATATAATCTATTTAGACTTTATTGTTTTTCTTTGGGCATTGTTAAGGCATATTATAACATAATTTTTGTTGGATACATTACATTTTTTTTTCTGGGGCTAATATTTTAGTGTCTTCCATTCACTTATTTCAAGTTTAGGTAGCACATAAAATCAAATATTGAAAATTTCATGATTTGTGCCCCATTGAACTTTCTGAACTTTTCAACTAGTCTTAGCCTTTCACAGATGCTTTAAAAAAAGCTAAGCTTACTTATAATTGTACAACTTACTAGCAGTAAAAGCTAAAATTATGTTTCTTCTGTTTTTGTCTTTTGTTTTTCCAGCAAGCACACAATGGTGCCTTCCTGATGTAATATGAACACACTATTTCCCCCCTTATCTGCCTTTAGTGAAGATACAGAACAGCTGGTCACCATCCTTCCTATTTGGACAAAGAATGCAAGAATGGATTATTATGGAAATCACTTCCTTCCCTCCAGTCTAGTAGGTGATGACTCCACTTAAGGAAGGAGCAATAGAGGGGAAACTCTCAATGCTTCTGGCCTGCTTCCATGTAGTCTGTGGATAATAAAGCTCTTTGATGTCTGGTGCATTCATAACCACCAAACTCAGGTTTCCAGTCAACGGAAAAGCTATTTTACACTACTTTTGATGTGATGAAATAACTTAACTAGACATGGTTAATCACATAGCTGGTGATTATGCCATGCAAGGAAAAGCCACTAAAATAAGCCAAGTGCCTCTAAAAAGAACAAAGGAATACTTCTCCTCGCAGGCATATACAGGCTGACTCAAGTGCTCCGGCATGACTCCATTTTTTTTGCCATCCAGACACACTCTCACTCTTTTGATAACATGAAACATGATCACAACTGCATCCATGAGGATTCTGCATACTTAGCTGATTTGTTTATTGCTTACTGTGTGGCATTCATGATTTGCCATTACTGTGTTTCCAGACATATCTGACTTTGATCACACTGCCCAGCCTAACAGTTTCTGGACTAAAGCAGAGCAAGCTCTTTTATAAATGTCTAATCCCACTTAGGTTATTTGTTGATTGTTTTGTCCAAAGCATCCAGATTTTGAGCCAATTTGGTTGGTATCACAAATGCAAACCCTTTCATAATTGGGTGTCCCTACAGGTTAGCAGATTAAGAGCAAAGAAGGCTCTGGAGAGAACAGCACTGACAAGTTGGTTTATTAGTTCAGCTGCCTTGAAAGACAAGCCAAGGTCTTGTTTCAACTAGCATTTTTATTTGTATCAATGGATGTTAAGCTAGTTCTAGGAAATAAACAAACAGGATTTATTAACATAGATTATTTCTATGTAGAGGAGATTCTAATTTTTTGTAATTCTAAAGGAATTTAAAACTAATAAAATATACATTTAATATTTTCAAAAGCCTGGCAACTAAACATATTGCTGTGGTTTGGATCTTGAATGTCCCCCAAGGGCTCATGTGTTCAAGGTTTGGATCCCAGACTTTGGCAATATTGGGAAGTGGCAGTCACTTAATGAGGTGAGGTCTAGTGAAAGGAAGGTAGGTCCTTGGGGTTATGTCCTTGAAGGTGATATTGTGACCTGGCCTCTTCCTGTCTTTCTCTTTCTCCATGTGTGTATGTGTCCACACAACCTGGTTGCCATAAGGTGTGCAGCTTTGCTCTTCCACAGGCTTCCTGCCATGATGGTCTCTCTCACCACAGGTCCAAAATTGATGGTGCCAAATGGCCATGAACAGAAACTATGAAAGAGTGGCCCAAAATAAATCTTTTTTCCTTAGGTTAAATATCTTAGGCATTTTGTCACAGAAATGGAAAACTAGCACCCATATTCTTGTAATTAAACTATTAGCTGTAATATCTAATTACGTTTTTATGTATGCATAGGCTAACTAAAACAATGAATTGTCTTTAAATAACCTAAGAAATTTTGGGTGGCCTATCTAATATTGGTTGGACATCCAGCAAAATAAACAAACAACAGCCCACAAAAATATAGGTTTAAGAAGTTATAATTATCAAAACTGAGACTTTAATTTTAGAGAAAATTAACCCGTGCTATAAAACATTCTGGTTCTGTGTTCAGATGACTAGTCTTTTAAGAGGTAGTATAACAAATCGCTAAAATTCTTATTCAACGCAAGAAGTTACATTTTTCAATAATAGAAGAATCTCACAGTATCTATGGGGATTGATTCTAGCATCCCCCTAAAGATATCAAAATCTACACATGCATAAGGCCTTTATATAGAAAGAAAGACATAGTGTAACCTATGCACATCCTCCTGCGAACTTTTAATCATTTCTGGACATTTATCATACCTAATGTAATGTAAGTACAATGTGGATGATTATTATACTGTATTTAGAAAATAATAACAAGAAAAAAATTTGTACATGTATATAACAGAAGCAAGTTTTTTCCTGATATTTTCTTACTCTGATTAGTTGAATCCAGGGAATTTACAGATATTGGAGAACCAACTGTATTCAAAAGTAAAATAACAGATTATTAAAAGTCTAATTAGAAGTTTGTTTTCTGCATCTATATTGCAATACAGAATAACAAAGAAATTTATGAAGCACCTCATGCTCTAGTTTCCTCTCCAATGAAATGATGAGGCTCATTCAGCAGGTCAAAAACGTAGTTATGTATCCTATCATGTGCCACAAGATTAAAAGTGGTGAACCAAATAATGTCTTTGTACTCTTGGAATTTATATTCCAGAACAAGAAAGACAAATAATGAACATGTGCATAAATATGTTACTGAGATCATTTTACATAGTAGGAAAAACTCTGAAGCAAATAGTACAAGGGAACATAACAGCAATCCAGGGAGCAGTCACTGCCCTGTAAGCAGTCAGAGATACACTCTGGAGATGTGTTTGAATTAAGAACTGTTGGAGGAGACAAAAACAAAGACCTGATAGTGGGGCAGTGGTGTGTAGGACAGAATGACTGGCAGCATTAATGGCAAAAGCCAAATCAAAGTCCTTAGGCAATATTGAACTTGTAACAAAAGAATAGAAAGCAAGGCAGTACATTATAAGCCAAGCATGAGATATTGTCAGATCAGAAGCTGGAGGAAACTAGATACGTAGTACCTAGACTATGGTATGGAATTTAAATTTGAGACCTTGGGGAAAGCTTGAAAGGATTTTGAATGTGAGATGACACTTATGTATTCTAAAGACTACCTTGGCATATGAACATAGAATGGATCCCAGAGTAACAAGAAGGAAGATGATAGCTCTCTAGGAATAAGACTTCCATGATTCAGATCAGGGCAGGTGGACTAGATCAGAAATTCTCTATTTTTCTTGTGCAATGTTTTATTTTGCCAATCTGTTCTCAAACTAACATTTTAAATGTATAAAATAAAGTGTAATGAACTAGAAAGGGAAACTAGTATATTAAAATGTGATTACCAAGATATTTCAAAGACAGGCTTAAATTATAATACTTAACATAGATGATATTTTGAAATATGTCTACAAACTGTAATATGATAGAAACTTATCTGACATATGAATGAAAAAGTTCTGTCCATATTTTTGTGGTTGATGCTAGAGTAACGATTGAAGAATATGCTAAATTATACTTAGGGTGTATGGAAACAAAGGTGTGAGTTCTTCCCATGAGTTTCAGATTCCTGTACTGTAGTTGATGACTTCTTGGTAAATGAATTTTACAGACAGGAACTTTCACTTCATTATCCTCATTTATTTGCAAAATATATTATCATTGGAAATATTGGAGGAAAAAAGATAGTGTTCTACAGGACATTGACTTTATACATGATCCTGGCTGCACTTTCTTCCATTTGCATCATTTTTTTCTTTTCTTAATGAGCTTTTTCTATGGAACTCAAATTTAACAGTAGTGACACCATTTCTATCACTAAAAAGACGTTGTATTGGTATTAAATTTAACTCTATGGAGATTTAACAGTTCTTCAAGTAAACCTGACTTTACTTACAGTTGGCTTCCATCTTGGGGGCAACAGTTTGAATGTATCCAATGTCATAAATTAGATGTCAGATATGAATAAACAATAAAACCAGGGCTTTATTATACAGTGCCACTACCACTACTTTGAAAATATATATTCAATGCACAGTATACTTGATTTTTAGTACCCATTCACATATGGAAACACTTCACCCTATTCCTCTTAGAAATATTGGAGAAAATAGAACTTAGCAATGAAAAGTCTGAGGTTTCATATTTGAATTTTCTTCTCAGTTGTTTGATAATCTTTGACAAGTCACATGATTCATCTGTTTTCCTTACTTATAAAGTTAAAGTGTATCTGCTTTATATCCTTCTACCTCTAGCATTATACATTTCTATGAAAAGTAAGCAGATTAAATAATCCTCTTCCTACTGTTGATAAGAGAATATGGTACATTCCTCATAGTTGTTTTATGTGGTTGATTATATTACACATTGAAGAATTTCTGTTAAGTTTGACACTTAGTATCTCACAGACATTATGTATTGAATAAGAAAACCTTGGTTTTGACGTGTATCTTTGCAATATCAAAGTTTCTTCTTTAACACTTGTGTAATTTTATCCAATAATAATTTTTTTTCTTTCTACTTTGGTAACCATTGCTTTCAAGGTAATATTCTAGTAAGTAATACAAGTAGCTATTAGGGAAAGAATCTGGACTTTCCTTTTTAATTGAAAAGAAAATGTGAAAATGAAATGATCTATCCATATAATGTCAAAAATCATATTTTTACTTATGCATCTCTCCTTAAGCACAATATGAATCATATATATATATGCCATGAATCTCTTAAGGTCAACATAATTAGAATCTTCTGTTGTAAGTCTAGTCACAATTTGAAGATATGAATGCTATAAGATGTAAATTAGCTCATATGGCTAGTGTAATAGGACTTGAGCACTGAAAACTAAGTTTCTGTGACAGGTATCTTGAAGAATCATATGGAATTTATCATGAAGATACAATCAAAGTGTTTAAGTGTAACATACAATCTTAAGATTCAACTACAGTTTTGTAAACCCAGTGTATTCAGTTAATAGATTACTTCTTGGTCTAAATCAATAGGCATTACCTCATCAAGTAGACGACCCCAGTACCAATGCCAAGACTGATAAAAAGAGTTATATATGTGAGTACTAATATATTCTATTCATTTCAGAGGGAATGTGAGACAAAAAGATAGGTATTACAAAAGTACATAGTTGTGTTCATTACATAATAGAATTTGAAGGGATTAATAAGATAATTTGAGGATTAATATCATCTGCAATATAGGCATAGGATAGGAGCAAAATGGCATAATTAAGCTTTGATATTTGGGGAAAGCTATGTATTAATCTAATTTCTCATTCTACTAGGCTGTCATCTTGGGCCAGTGACTCAAAATGTATATGGCTCAATTTTTGAATCTGCAAACACAGACATCCTGACAGCGACTAACACAGTACCCATAAGAAGTGATAGAATAATCCTTGTAAAAAGTGTCTTATAATTGATTAGGCACTAAATTAATGTTAGTTTTCCTCTTTCAAAATAAGTGTGACTATTTGCTAATTTATACTAATTTAAATTCAAAGGAGTTAATCATAATTTTCAGGTTTTGTAACAAAATACCCTGGAATTTCCTTTTTGTTAATCAGATAGCATTATTTATTATTACATAGAGAGTTAGAGATCAAGATCATGGTGCTGTTAAACGCCCACCACCCAACACACACACACCCCAAACTGTTGAGGGCCACAACCAAGTCAAGATGGTGCCTGGCAGTTTGCCAGGAGGAGTGGTTTGTGAGCTAACGCCACCGAGTCCTTAAGATGTTGGAGATTCCTTATTGGATGGTTGCTGTATCTAGATGATGTTAATTGAAACAAGCTGTGTATAATTGGTTGGGTATATGTTACAAAAACAACAGAACAGAAGATGGACATAATTACTATAGGTACATGTATGACTGCATGAATGGTGTGACTACTTCATGCACAACCAGAGAAGTGAAAAATTCTGCTCCATTTGTGTAGAATGAATTAAAGAGCTTTCTATTTATTTATTTACTTACTTATTTTTAATTTTTAAAATACATGACAGCATTAGAAAGCATTACAATTCTTATTATACATATAGGGCACAATTTTTCATATCTCTGTATATAAAGTATGTTCACACCAATTTATGCCTTTATACATGCACTTTGTTGGGGGTTTTTTGCATTATAATTCTTAATACACATATATACCACAATTTTTGTATCTCAGTTTTTGTATAAAATATGTTCACACCCAATTCAAATCTTCATATATGTACTTTGTATAATGATGTCCATCACATTCCACCATCCTTGCTAATCCCCTGCCCCCTCCATTTCCCTCACACCCCTCTTCACTATCTAGAATTCTTTTATTCCTCCCATGCTCTCCCTCCCTATCTCACTATGAGTCAACCTCCGTATATCAGAGAAAATATTTGGCATTTTTTTTTGAATTGGCAGACTTCACTTTGCATTATCTTCTCCAACGGCATCCATTTACCTGCAAATACCATGGTTAAGTTCTTTTTTTAATGCTGAGTAAAATTCCATTGTGTATATATGCCACATTTTTTTTATCCATTCATCCACTGAGGAAATCTAGGTTGGCTCTACAGGTTAGCTATTGTGAATTGTGCTGCTATAAACATTGATGTGGCTGTGTTCCTGTAGTATGCTGTTTTTAAGTTGTTTGGGTATAGACTGAGGATAGGAATATCTGAGTCAATTGGTGGTTCCATACCCAGTTTTCCAAGGAATCTCCATACTGCT